AAATACTGATCTATTGTCTGAGGCCCCAAAGAATGCCGAGGTCTCCTCATTAAAAGCCACATTCAGGGGTTCTGGATCAGTCCCATGCTGGTCTCTCAGCTATGAGCCTGGAGTCCATGAGCTCCCCCTTGCTCAGGTCAGCTGCCTCTGTTGGTTTTACCAGCCCAGTCTTGACCCCTTTGCTCATCACTCTTCCCTCTCTGCAACAGGTTTCCACGAGTTCAGTTCAGTGTTTAGCTGTGGGTGTCTGCCTCTGCTTCCATCAGTCTCTGGATGAAGGCTCTAGGATGGCATACAAGGTAGTCATCAATCATGTTATCGGAGAAGGGCATTTAAGGTAGCCTCTCAACTATTGGTTAGATGGCCAGTTGGTGTCATCCTTGTAGATGTCTGGAAATATCACTAGTGCCAGATCTCTCCTCAAACCTATAATGTCTCCCTCTATTAAGGTATCTCTCATCCTGCTCTCTAGTCTTCCCCTGACTCAATCTTCTTGCTCCACCATGCCCTCCTCTCCCCTCCTCTTTTCCCACTCTTATTGTTGGTCAAAGGTTGCTTGAAGAACTTGCCCAAGTCATGAAGCCCTGATCCTCAGTTTTTGGCTTTTATGTTCGAAACCACATCCTGATTGACACCTTTAGTTAGCAAGAAGTTAGCAAGAAGCAGAGCTACAGAAGTAAACAAGCAAGGTTTTTGCATTTAGAGACTTTCCAGGGTCCTGGAACTATGGACCAAGTCTTGATGGATTAGGTCTTTGTTTCCTCCCTCGCAGGTGTTTCGGCCTACATGCTTTTAAGGTCAGAACGGTATCTCTAATATGGCATCAGTTGTGCTCAGGTGTGGGGCCATCTGTTACACTACTAGGAACATTGTTGCTTTGTTAATGGGTTAACTCAATTTGAATGTTTTTTATGCATGAAAAAAAGACATGGAATTTTGTTGCACTGTCCCATGTTCTGGTTTGGTAGCTCAAACAATCTTAAGTATGCCTTTTGTCTGAAATTATAATAGCATAATATTGATAAGATTTCACAACATATTTTCTCCAAAGGCCAAGAGATTATAAAGATAAGTATTTGTTAATTTTTTTTTGTTTACAGGTCTTCAGGTCAGAGCATCTTTGCGCTAGATGATATTTGGCCAAATACTATGTGTTAAGACATCCACTTGGATCATTTCCAACGAAACTCTTTTGTCCAAATTAAGCAAGACACTGGTACTCAGAATTGTCTTGTATACTTAGATTTGTAATGAGCACAATTTGGAAGAGCTGTCTTTTACATAAAAAACATCTTGTTTCAATTATAATCAAGAATGTTGGGAAATTCCAAATCACCTTTTTATTAACAGAAGTACATACAATATTTATTGTTTTTCATATTTAGCATATTCTTCCCAAAGTGGAAAAGAAAACTACTGGGGGAGGAAAAAAACCACTGAAAACACTAAAACATATCTCAGTTCAACAGAATTATATACACATGTGACTTTTCAGTAAAGTTGGCATGATGAATAGTAAAACTTGTTATAACTTAATAAGATGTTTTAAAATTCACATATATATCTTACCATCACCAGGATACCATCCTGGCCACCCCTGAGCCCCTGGTCCTTGTGATCTCCATTACCTGAATTCAGATAGACACAGAGAACACAGTGTGTCAGGCAGGCAGGTACACAGGCTGGCAGAATGCATTACAGAATTATATGGAGCTCTCCAGGGTGAGAATGGCCAGTGGCCAAAGGGACCACTGTGGAGCGGGACTTGTGATATCATGAGACTTTTCAGATCATTTTTATATAAATTAGAAAGAATCTTATTTTACATATAAATCCCAGTTTCCTCTCCCTCCCATCCTCAGACTGGGGTCTGTGTGCTCCCACTTGCTCAAGTCAGCTGTTTCTATGGATTTCCCTAGCATGATCTCGACCCCTTTGCTCATCACTCCTCCTTCTCTACAACTGGATTCCAGGAGTTTGGCTCAGTGCTTAGCTGTGGGTCTCTGCTTCTGCTTCCATCAGCTACTGGATGAAGGCTCTAGGATAGCATTTAAGGTAGTCATTAATCTCATTACACGGGAAGAGCATTTAAGGCAGCCTCTCCACTATTGCTTAGATTCTTAGTTGGGGTCATCCTTGTGGATCTCTGGACATTTCTCTAATGCTAGATTTCTCTTTAAACCTATAATGGCTCCCTCTATTACAATATCTCTTTTCTTACTCGCCTCTATCAGACTCAATCTTCCTGATCCCTCATGTTTTCCTCCCCACTCCTCTTCTGTTTCCTACCCTCCCATCCGTGCTCCCAATCTGCTCAGGAGCTCTCGTTCCTTTCCCATCTCTGAGGGACCATGTATGTCTCTCTTAGGGTCCTCCTTGTTTCCTAGCTTCTCTGGTGGTGTGGACTGTAGGATGGTAACCCTTTGTTATATGTCTAATATCCATATATGAGTGAATACATACCACGCTTGTTTTTCTGTGACTGGGTAACCTCACTCAGGATGGTTTCTTCTAGTGCCATCCATTTGTCTTCGAATTTTAAGATTTCATTGTTTTTATTTTTCACTGAGTAGTACTCCAGTATGTAAATGTACCACATTTTCTTTATCCATTCTTCAGTTGAGGGGCATCTAGGTTGCTTCCAGGTTCTGGCTATTACAAATAATGCTGCTATGAACATAGTTGAACAGATGTCTTTGTGGCATGAATATGCATCCTTTGGGTATATGCCTATGAATCTTGAGGTAGACTGATTCTCATTTTCCTGAGGAACCACCACACTGATTTCCAAAGTGGCTGTACAAGTTTGCACTCCCACCAGCAGTGGAGGAGTGTTCCCCTTTCTCAATATCCTCTCTAGCATAAACTGTCATTGGTGTTTTTTATTTTAGCTATTCTGACAGGTGTAAGATGGTATCTCAGAGTTGTTTTAATTTGCATTTCCCTGATGCCTAAGGATGTTGAGCAATTTCTTAAGTGTCTTTCAGCCATTTTAGATTCCCCTATTGAGAATTCTCCATGTTCTGTCCCCCACTTTTTAATTGTATTATTTGGTGTTTAGGTGACTAGCTTCTTGAATTCTTTGTATATTTTGGAGATCAGTCCTCTGTCAGATGTGGGGTTAGTGAATATCTTTCCCCATTCTGTGGGCTGCCATTTTGTCCTGTTGACTGTGTCCTTTGTCTTACAGAAGCTTCTCAGTTTCACTAGGTTCCATTTATTAATTGTCTATATCAGTGTCTGTGCTACTGGTGTTATATTCAGGAAGTGGGCTCTTGTGACAATTTGTTCGAGGGTACTTCCCAGTACTTTCTCTTCTAAGAGGTTCAGTGTGTCTGGATTTATGTTGAGGTCTTTGATTCATTTGGCTTTAGATCATTCTTAAAGCTTTGTACACAAAAAAGCTAGGTGGGCAGCCCTAAGGGACTGCTTGACACACAATTAAAGATAACACAATTGGATGCTCTGAAGTCTGAGGCCAGCTGTATATGAATTTGTGTTGCAGGCCAGAATTAGGTTCCAGAATCTGCTATGGTCTGACTAGATCTTGTCCTCTTTAAAACACCTGTTAAGAATTAATTTCCACTATGATATATTAAGAAATGAGACTAGGTGAGAATTCACACATGTGATTTGAACTCTGCCTTCAAGGAAGGATTAATGCATTAATGCAATAAAATGGATTATTCAGTCACTAGGCTATCTAAAGAACAACAAAACAAACAGGCAACAACAATAGAAAGAGGGTGTCTGCTCTGAAGTCGGCTTGGATTAGTCTCTCTTTTCGGAGATCCTCCGTAGTCAGTATCATAACTCTCCTCCTCTTTTCTGCTTGTTGGGATGTTCTATTATCTTTATTTTACTAGGTAGTAACATCCCTCAGTAACATCTTTTTCCTTCAGCTTGAGCCTGTAGAGGAAACTTTTATTGAGTCTTCTTGCATGTGCATCTGTTACTGCTTCATTAAGCCAAGTTTCCTTTGGACTGTCTTAAGGGGCATCAACAGCTGGGGGCTCTTATCCACTCTACTAAGCCTTCAGTCATGGGAATTTTCAGCACCTATTCTTTGCTTAATGATTCCAGTTTAACTATATGGTGGAACTTTTTGGGCCCTTGAAAGTACCAAGCCTTGTGAGCACTATAGAAGGGTTTCCATACATCTGTGAATTCTCCTTTCTTAACCCCTTATTTTGATCTTTTCATTCAGTGTCTTAAGGATTCATTTCTAGGAGTTATTTCCTGGTTCTGGCCATGTGTTAGATTAGATATGATGGTCACTTTGCTGTATAACATGTTTGTTCTTTTCTAGAGTCCAATATATTCCCTCACAGGGCTCTGCTGAGATTAGACATTACTTCTTGGTGTTGTGGCTTGGAGAAGAAGAAATCTTAAAACAGATCACATAGACTCCTAAAAGCCCTAATTTGAGACTTTTCCCAGTCTTCCAGTATGGGAAGAAGCCACTTACTCAATACAGGCGATCTTTTTCTCTCTTCAGTGGGAAAATTACCAGGAGAATCCGGGGATTAAGGTTTCTCAACTGCATCTACCTTGGTAATCCAGGCCAAATTTCAAAATCCCATTGATCCCTGCCAGGGCCCCAAGACTTTGTTGTAACACAGTCTTCCCTGAAGTTTCACAACCCTTTCAGTTAAGTCTGTGCCTTAGTGAGCTGTGATCACCCCATACCCACAGATAGCAAGAGCCATTTAGAACAGTGCCAATGGGATTTCTGACTTTCATGGTGTCTCTCACACAAAGATGAGCTGCCCAGTCCTCGTGAGTCACATTTCCTCCTCGTGTCACTTGTGATGAGATTGTGCCCATCGGTGTACTTGTCCCACCTTGTCACAGGGGATCCCGAGCAATCGAGTTCCTACAACACATCAGGGTTTTCACTAGTGGACTCGTCTTCGCTAACAGGTGATTCAATGGCAGACTTCCTTCTCCAGTGCAACAGAGTCTCAGATGAGATATGAGTGAGTGAAATCTACAGATACTGAGTTTGTGTGTTTTTTTTTTGTGTGTGTTTATTGGTGAGTTTGAAAGCCTCCATTCACATGAGAAGTTCTGGCCACCAACATATAGTTGAATACTGACAGCTGATTTTAAACTACAGACAAGATATTGAGCAGAGCTTAACGAGTCACCTGTATCTTTCTGATGAGTCTCTAGTATCATGACATCTTCAGGGTCATTCAGGCAGTGGTGGTGCCATCTGGACAATGGCTTGACTATGTGTAGAGTCCTTTCTGACATTAAATCACTCAGTGTAGCAGCCTTACTCCTACTATTGATGAGGACATCACCCAGTATATAGATTGGTTGCTTCTTGTGACATTTTGTCACAGGCCAGTGAGTAAAGCTGAAGGGAAAGAGAAAAGCTGAGCAAGAGTGCAAGCAAGTGAATTGCTCCACAGAGTTTTCCCTTTTCATCCAGAATCAGACACTGGTAACCCTGGAAGTCTGGTTGTCCTCAGTTAGGCAAGGAGACAATCTTAGGAGCAAGCTATTAGTAATGACTTGCAGCATCTGTGGGTGGAACAGCAGAGCAGATTTGGGTAGGGTGGCAAAGAACCTATGGCAACCTCACTTCAATGGGGAAAAATATCATTCATAGTCAGTATTGCTCATGGAGACAATAGCCAATATTTTTTATTTATTTTCATAAGATTTTTCACTGGTGATTTCTAAAAAAATTATGTTGACTGCATTTGTGTACACAGGTGAATGGGCACATGCACCTGTCATAGGGACAGCTTGTGGAGTAGGTCCTCTCCTTCCACCACGAGGATCCAGGTGATTAAACTAAGTCATCTGGTGTGTTTACAAGTGTCTTTACCACTGAGTCACTTACTGCCCCATGAATGCTGTTTTTAAGCCTTTACTTACACAGTTACGATTATACACAATTTGTTATTCCACTTCTTAAGAGTTTTAGATTGTCAAAGTATTTTCTATTTATTATAAGACTTTTAGAAACATGATGTTTAATCAAAACACAAACATTTGAACACATTTTTATCACGATAAAATGCTAATTTTTGAGCAGTAAATAACCTCTCACTTAATATGACATATAAAACATAAGGTTGTCTGGTCAAAACAGGTTGCCATGGCAACTTGTCAGGCATGAGCAGGAAGCATGTGTGCTGTTGCCTATACAGTAGAGGAGATGGAAGATAGATGTGCTGAAGGTCTTACATTCAAGGGTGATGGATCCACAGTGGCTATACACGGACAATATATTATACTAGCACCTCCAAACTGAAGTATCACCATTAGAAGACAGTCACACAAAGTATGCACATCAAGTCAGAGTGAAGGAATGGACAAAAGAGAATGCTGTTAGAGCCAAGGCTGCCCTGTGGTACTTTGTGGTGATTTGAGGAAGCTGGGATGGAGGAGGGGGAAGAAAGAGTATGAGGAAGACAGATTAACCCATTTTTTTCCTCCAGAGTATAGGTTAAGTTCAGCAGCAAGGAGTAACATTCACACTGACCTTTGCTCTGCTTGGGAGCCATCACAGGATACTGTCCCACGCTCAGAGTCCATGTAGACTGTAGTTGATAGGTTAAGAAGTAAGATTGTGCAATGAATCTTCATCTCCTTAATGTCTCTGCTTTCCTCTTCCATTTTGATTGTGGCCCTCTCAAATCTCTCCTGCCAGCATGCTCTGCCTTTCAGCTTCCAGCAAGCCATGCTCTACACTATGTCAATCTCCGTGACTCGTCCTAGAGGCACACCTGTGAACATCTCTGCTTAAAAGGCAGCCTGTCAAGTAAAGGCCAAGTTCACTTTCAATTTAATTCTTTTTGTTTTTTTAACGATCCCATGTGGAGTTTTATTGGTAGACAGGGAGGGAAAGGGTGAGAGGTAACCAACTAGTGTAGAGCTGAGAGAGAGAGAGAGGGGGGGTTGGGGGAGGGAGAGAGAGTAAGAGAGGAGATGATATGGAGAGGAAGACAAGAGTAAAAGAGAGCATAAGTGGGCAGGGGTCAGTCCTTTAAAGGGGTCCTTTGCACCTGCATGGTTCTCACAGAACTCTGGACTGGCCAGAGTGTTGCCTGAGTGCATCCTGCCAGGTAACAGGGCAGGCCAGCGTAATGCCTGAACCTTTCATTCCCACTTTTATTTATGATTAAAAAGAGGTGGGGGTGTTAGACGTGGCAGGTTCAGGATCAAGGACGTTGAGTTCTTAAGACTGCATCCTGCTGACCTGGGGGCATCGACCATCTTTGGGGGAACCTGAGAAAGCTGGGGTGTTGCCACACTGGTCGTTCTATTGTAGTCCAGGCTGTATGGGACTCTCTGTAGTCCAGGCTGTATGGGACTCTCTGGCACCTCTGTAGATCTGGCAAGATGTTAGTAGAGAACAAAGTTAGGTTTAAAATTTTTCTTCTTAGGTCCTGGTATTTGAGGGGAAGATTGTAAGATGAGGGAGGGGTTCCCGAGGGGTCCCAAGATGAGGGAAGGGAGTCCCAGTACCAGAGAGAGGTTGAATAATATCTGGAGTGAATCTGACCTGTTTCAATGGGTCCAATTTGGCTTTCTGGAACTTACAAGAATCTTTTGAGTTTGTGAAAACACAAGTGTTAGACATATCAGCAGCATATTTTTATTAGAAAAGACTTGGATGAAAGCATTAACATTTTAAAAACTGACAGATATTTTTAGCACAATGAAAAGTACCTTAATTTTGACCTTATAGTTATGATTATATAGTGGTATAGTTGTTTAGCACTCTGTTGGAATTAGATTAGTAGCTTATCAGAACTTCATTGTTTAATGTTAAGACTATGTAAAGTAGTATAATGAAAGAAAAACCTGGAACATACTTTTTTAATGTCTTAACTTATTTTATTATATTACCATCTTATATAGATAGATAAACCTTAGAATCTGTTTTATGACAGAGCTTTGCCTTGTCTGTTACTTTAAGGTGGCAAAGCTACCAGCCATCAAAAGCATCAGAGTTCTTGAGAAGGATAAGGTTTTACCTGAGATTGGAGAATGAGACACTTAGCTGACTGCATGGACAGCCACCACCAAGGTGTCCACAGTTGTTGAAGTCAGAAGCTCCAAAGACACCTGCCTTTTGCTGATAGTAAGACCTGTGGATTGGAAACTTTTTAGTAAGACTTTCCTACTGTTGACCTGAGCAACATGGAGAAAGTCGATTCCAGTGTCCTCTTGTTCATGGCCTGAAGAGTCCTTTGAAGCAGTTGAGGTGAAGGGCAGGGTTGCTTCGTGGCTAGCATTGTCACTTTGTGGGTGGAGTTTCTTCAGTGTTCACCAGTCTTCTTGGAGGAAATGGGGTGGTGCCAGCAGCTGGCCTGTCTCTCTGTTATAAAAAAGCTTTTAAATAAAACATTTAAATGCCATGTTCTCTAGATCTCTGAGCATTTGAGGACTGTTTGTCTAGTAGACAAAATTTATCTTTAGTGACTTGCCTTAAGCACATAGGTGGCTAGAGATAGAAGTAATAGAAGCTTTACCTTTGTAAACAACTTACAGGAAGGACTGGGTATTATAAATACTTTGTTAATTTGAAATAGACCCATATAACTTTAAATGTTTATCATCACTTAAAAGATATAACAATTTAGAAATATTTAATATTTAATATAGTTGAATTAAAGTTACCTTATTTTTTATACATACATATAGATACATTAAACAGGATTGGGTAAAAGTGTTTGACCCACACTTGTAGCAAACAGATTTAAAGAGACAGTCAGTGATGAGAAGGAAGATTTGTTGTAGATAGAACAAGTGACCCCAGAAAGGCACAGTATTCCATAAACAAGCCATGGAAAACTGAGTCAGTGAAAGAAGAAATTAGAGGCAAAAATAAAAGCGCAAAAGAGACAAAAAGTAAACAATTTTTTTTTTATGGGACAGGGTTTCTCTGTATTGTTTTGGAGGCTGTCGGTCCAGCCTGGCCTCGAACTCACAGAGATCCGCCTGCCTCTGCCTCCCAAGTGCTGGGATTAAAGGCATGTGCCACCACCACCTGGCAAAAAAAGTAAATGAATTGTATCTGTCAGCAGGCTTGGCCGGCAGAAAGTGGCTGGACTCAGTGGGTGTGCCTACAGCTAAGTCACTCTGTAAACATGGCGGCCTCAGTAAACACGTTTCCAAGCTACCTGTTAGGCCTCATGGTTAAGATCGCCAAGATGGTGGCCTCTCTAGGCACATTCCTTAGTGTCCTAAACAGACACTAACCCAAGACAGGCCTTTGTAAGCTGCTGGCATCTGTATGGAGAAGAAATATGGTAGAAGCAAAGCTGGATAGAAAAGAGAATTTGGAATTCCAAGCGGAATGAACAGGAGAGACAAAATAGGATACTCCTGGGTGGAAGGCGGTTCTGCCCTGAGGCAGGTTTGGTCAAGATGGGAAGTGGCGGGAAGCCTCTGTGACTGGCGGGAGCTTTTTTTAGGGTTAGGTTTAGCTTTTAAAGCTAGAAGAATGAGATTTAGGGGAAGAGAGAATGTTGAAGAGAATGATTAGCAGAGAGGTAGAAAAAGGCTTGAACATAGGGCAACCCCTTCAATCGACCAGATCGCTGGCAGTGACTAGAGAGGTCCTGTAAAATATACTGAGATAAGTGAGTCTGGATGACTTAACTAGAGGCATTAAGTGAAAGGGTTTTAGGTTCTCCAAGAGGCATCCCAGAGGAGAGGATGGGTCAATTTCTTTTGTCGGTTTGTTACCCATGAGCCCTATCTAAAGGAAAATAAAATGGCAAGATCAACTTTTTAGAACTTGTCAGCCCGAGAGTCTAGCCAGGGCAGAAAAGACCACCCAAAAAAAAGGAAACAGGGTCCGAAAGGCGAGAAGCCGCCTAAGGCTCAGAAAGGAGCCGAAAAAATTACCAATAGGCCGTGCCCGTGGAAAACAAACCAAAAATGATTGTCAGACGATGGGGGTCAACTGTGACCTTGAAGATCATGGTTGGGTGAGTTCCCCACGTTTCCAAGAACACCGTAAGGGTGCCGGATGCTCAATGGTCAGTCCTTAGGGTTCAGGGAAATGCTTATGTTGACTTAAAGGGGGTCCTTACCAAATTGCAGCCACTGTTGGATGTAAAATTTAGCGTTCCAGTTGACGGAAAGTGGGCCATTGGTCCGATGTTGCAGGTTACCTGTGTGGTCACCTGCAGGGTCGGCAAGTGGCCTGAGCCACAGGGAGAGCCTGCCCGGGTCAGGGAACCAATGTTGTTAAAATGTCTAGGTTTATCCAGTAAGGAGACACAAACCATGATCCCACGTGGAGTTTTATTGGTGGACAGGGAGGGAAAGGGGTGAGAGGTAACCAACCCGTGCAGAGGTGAGAGAGAGAGATAAGGTATGAGAGAGAGGGGGGAGCGAGAGAGTAAGAGAGGAGATGAGATGGAGAGGAAGACGAGAGTAAAAGAGAGTTAATTCTTTTTTTTTTAATTAGAAAAAATGTCCTGTAGATTTAAAATAAACACAGAAGTTTTAACTTCTAATAAAGATAATATGGTCTGGGAAATCTGGTTCCAGACAGAAAAATGGGATTTATAAATTTTCATACCTGGAAAACTGACCGGCATCTCCGGGCATGCAGCTTTTCTAAGTAAGGCGTTGATGAATTTATAATGATTTCATAAGTGCCCATAAATGTACCATCACAAAACCCTGAACAAAATGACTTAATTCCTAGAAAAATGTACAATTTCACAATTTATGCAAAAGGAAGTACAGAACCTGAATCCACCAGTGAGAGTTAGGTCTATAGATGTATGACCAATAGAATCCCCACTGTCAGAACTTGCAAGCCAGTTTCGTAGCTCAAACAGCAGTTTACAAGTAATTCTCTTTCTGTGAATTATGAGTGAGGTAAAACACTGAAAAAAAATCATACCTATGACCTTAATAATACTTTAAAGATGAAGGAAAAAGTACCTTCTTTGTTCTGTAAAGACAGAAAGCTTTACACTTGTGAAGACAGTGTAATTTTTATTCTAATAAAGGACATATTGGGAACGCCACTACTGAAGGATGCATCAGTACAGAAAGGAAAGGGAAATGGCAGCAGGAATGACGCTTTACTTGGGAAAGCTGCATGCCCACCAGGCAAAATGCCATTTCCCAGGTATGAAAATCAGTCTAAAAACCCAAAAGCTTTTCTCTTAACAATTGCTTTAACAAAGTAATTGCAAATAAGGTTACACTCAGCAACAAAGGTTATCTATCACATTGTCTAAGAATTAAGCAAAATGTACAAGACTTCCATATGGAATATTTTTCTTTTATTAGTCATTTTTTTCATTCATTTTACATTTCAACCACAGTTTCCCTTCCCTCCCCCTCCCCTTTGCCCCCCTGCAAGCCTTTAAAATATATTAAAAGGTGAGTGTGTGGGCGTGTAGAGAGTTGGCTCAAAGGTTAAAAGCACTTGCTGCTCTTCCACAGAACCCGAATTCAGTTCCCAGTACCCACATTAGTGGCCCCAGGGCATCTGATGATGCTTCTGGTTTCCACAGGCACCTGTGAGGCATATGCTCACATATAGACACGTACTTATACATAGAAGTAGATAAACACACAATAAACATAAATAAAAATAAATCTTAAAAAAGATCCTAAAAGGCTAGGCACGGTGGCGAATAGCTGTAATTCTAGCTCTTGAGTGATGGAAACAAAATTGGTAGTTCAAAGACAGGTTGGGCTGCACACAAATCTGTTTGGAAAAACTGTGGTCTGGGAATGTGGCTTAGTGGTGGGGTGCTTTCCTGACAAGTAAAATGTCCTGGTTTGATTCCCCAAACTGTTAAAAAGTCTGTATTTGGGAAGGAGAGCCGGACAAGCTTTTGTTCTGATAATGCTGCATGTATTTCCTCAATGTTGTCCTCTAGGTCTGAGAGCAGCAGGGAGGAGGA